AGACACCCCAAATTTGAGGGGCCTGTTTCTTCTACCCACATCCTCTAATGTAGAACTACCACTGAATCCCATGCACAGTCCACCAGGTAGTGATACCTGCCTGTTGTAAGGACAAGTGATCAATATTTTACTTACATGGAACATTTAAATCTTTCAGATGGTTACTCCTCAAAAATAACCATCTGTGCAATAATATCTCTCTCCTTCGCTGCCTTCAGCTCTCACAATCATCACCCAAACGCCAGGCAGAAGCTGCTTTATTAGCTAAGCATGGTTCACATCTCCTTAGTGATATATGTATATACAAATAAAGTGTTGAGAGACTCCAATTTTAGATGATGAAAAATGTGCAAGGATCATTTAGCCTATTGACATTCAACTGTGATATAAATCCAGTTAAGATTAACAGAAACCAAAGGTTCAAACCATCCTACAGTGGCATAGAAACCTCATGAGAAAATGAGCTTGCTGCAATCCCCAGGGCCAAGGTCTTTCACTGCCTTACATAAATAGGTACATCTACACAAGCAGTAGGGAGAGCTTCAGAAATCAACTTCATAACTCTACCAAATTATCTATAGACATACTAGGCCTGGACTATTTGCAGGTATTTCCAATAACTGTAAAGCTTTTGCTTGTTTACTTACAGAAATATCTTGTCTGCAGAGATAAGTTAGCAACATGCTAGATACTTTTTATCATCTCTGTTTTCTCAGTAGCTCACTCAAGCCCTCTGTGTGCAGTTGGAATGTCACTGTGGCAAGAAATCTTCCAGTCTGGTCTCCAGCTTTATAATTTCCATGTGTCTCTGGAGTAGAGAAGTAGTACAATAACAAGTAAAACCCACTGGATTCTTATATAAATGATCAAAACCTCAGTGTCTTAAAAATCCTTTTGCTCTCTACACTCTGTCATTTCAATCTGTGAAGAGAAATTTGAAAAGCATTCTGCTTTCATAGTGAATATTTTCTCCTTCTGCCACTTCAGTGTTATTTTAAAGGATCAGATTTTGTTCTGTGAGCTGTGTGTAATAATGTTTAACAAATAGCTCTCTCATTGCATTAGTTTAAAAGAAAGTTACTATGGTGGCTGCAAAATCTGTTTTATGGGCATATAACATCTTTCTTATGTCCTTTAATGGTAATAATATTTTGTTTTCCTAGCCAAAACAATTTTACAGCTCAAATAGGATCACAAAAGCTGAGTGAAGCTTTCCCCTCCAGTTCAGCATGGGGCTTCAAACTCCTCACCACACATGCATTGCTGCCAGCTGCAAAGGTGGTTCTGTGCTGCAGACTTATTTTCAGGAGCAACAGGGCTGTTGCAGTATTCTTATGCAGTGAAAAAGGAATCAAAGAAAAAAAAAAATCCATATTTAGACCTACTAAAAAGGTTTTCCTATATGCCTGCCAATCCCTTTCTGAGGTGTTCCTCAAGTGGGACATGAAGCTGGTAGGAATTACAGATAATTTTCCTGTGTTGTACTATTTGTTATGATTGCTCTGCACCTGACTTTTGATCTGGAAGTTTTTAAGTAACTTTAGATGATAACTTGATAATGATCAGTAAATGAGCTTTGTGGGGTCTCTGCACAACATATAAATGATGTGTATATCATATACATATAACCAGCAGATGTAACCACTCCTGTGCTTTGGGGAGTTGTTCTCTCACTGCCTGTTGGTCACCACCCACTGTGACTGGTCTGTTCAATCATTTTCTACTGGTTTTGTCTCACAAGTGAGCATCTGGAATTCTGAAAAAAATGGCAAATTCCAATACTGAGAACGTTGTCTTCTAAACAGTAGCATGGATAAAAGAGAGGATGGACACTGCTGTTTTGGTGTTAGAAACTCTACCAAAAGGCAACTTATTCCAGAGAAGCCTTCACTGAGCTATACCCAGCAGGAAGCATTCCCAAAGGATCCTTTCTTGCTGTTTTTGAAGCAGTTCCCCAAAGAAACCAGACAGCAGCTTGAGATCTTATGAGGAAGAGGAAGTGTGTGAATCACAGTGAAATTACATAGGTGTCAACATTTAATATAGTCAAAGTGCTTGCTAACCAGAAGGTGCAGATTTTAGTAGAGTAGCACAAAAAATTATTCTAGTCCATCATACTAAATATTTGTGTAATGCTTTTCTTGTAGTATTTAAACAGTATTTCAGATTTTAAGTTAAAATATGGATTGGATCTTAGTGTTCATGATCTGATTAGTGTTCACCAGTGCTCTGCAAAGCATTGGTTTATTTAATGAAGCAGGCATAATTTGCCAGTTTTACTTGAAGAAAAAACTGATTTACATTATCAAGGGGGTGGTGAATAAAAGCTTAAGTGTGGTGAAAATGTACTGCTGCTACCTTCTTTACCACTCTAATTATGGTGAATAGATGGAGCCAGAGAAGGAGACAGGACAGAACAAGCCTGATCAATACTCTCTATTGCCCTCCCTGCAGTTAAAAGAGAATGACTGCACTTATCTGGCCTTCTAGGGGAGTATCCATTCCTTGCTGGAGGTTAAATGAAAAACTCCTTTATTCCTACTTTTATGCTGACCCTAAACTCGTGTCCTGATTCTATAGGAGTCTCTGGCTACACAGATAGTTCTTCAAGTCGATGGGAAAATTGCCATGAAAGAAGGGTTGCTGACATGAATGAGGCTTGCAAGATCAAGCCCTTCATGATCACTACAACCCTGGGCTCTGGGCTGATGTGGCATCCCTGATTTACAGGAGTAATCCCATCAGCATCCCAGGGACAATTCACAGGAGTAAGAACTGTGGGAATGGGCCCCTCAGGAGCAACTACAGCACAGTTATGTATCCAGCCTCACTCAGATCCTGCCTCACAGCCCTGTCCAAATGTTCTGCAGGCACTTTATGCTGGAGAGGAGAAAATAGACCTTGGGCACAAGTTCACCCCTGCTTTGCAGGCTATGGCCCCACTTTGGCACTCTTATTCTCTGCCCTCTAAGAGTCTTCCCTCTAAGAACCTGAACCTTTTAAGTGGTTCAGGGTCTGCAAGAAATGTTGGCTTCTCTTGTTTCTTTCTTTTTTCCCCCCCTCTCTACTTTCTTCCCCCCCCCTTTGTTTCAGTCTTGCTTTAAATATTTTTTTTAATTTTTTCTTTCTAAAACTTAAAAATTTCCCTTTTTAACATCTCCTTTTCTTTTTTAGTCTCCTTTTATCTTTTCTTTTTATCCTTTCTCTTATCTTCTGTTGCCTTCTTCTTCTCATTTTGTTTATATTTTGCTCTCTTCCGTATTTTTTCCCTACTCTGCTTTGTTTTAAAAATTCTTTCTCTTTTCTCCTTCTTTCTTCTTTTTCATCCCTTCCTGTCCTTCTCCCTAATCTTCTTTCTCAGAATTAGAGGTATTCAAACAGGGTAGGAAAAAATTAACAAGGAGTTTGCCTCAAAATTCAAAGACTGGGAGTATAGCAGCTTTCCCAGTTTCAGAAATGCTTTTTTTAGAGCCACATAAATCAATCTGAATTTCCAGAATCTGAAAAACTGGAACATAAAATCCAAAGGAAAATACAGAAATAATAGAATTTCTACATGCATTTCTGTTTCTTTTTATATCCTACGTACAAAGAATGAAAATCACCTTTTCCCTGGTTTTCTGTTGTTTCCAGGTGTAGTTCTGAGAACTTGTGTAAATCAATTACCAGCTTTTCTTCTCAAGTGTAATAATGTGTGTTTAGTTTTACAGTTAACTTAATAGGTTTGTCTGCTCTTTAAACTGACTGTGAGTAAGGATTAGAATGCCAAACAAACAAAAAGGTGGCAAGAGAAGATAATTACAGTTTCATTTCAGTCACACCATGTGATCATGATATGTGTTAGGTGTGGTAAAAAAACTATGGAGACACAATTCCTGCCTTGATCTAAGGCATGAGCTGCAGAAATTCTTCTGTGTTTTTGAAATAAATTCATTCCCTGGGATGGACTTATGCTCCTGTGAGTTTTTTGGTTGATTTCAGCAGAAACACTGTTTGCCATGTTCTTAGTGAGAGCGAAGGTTCTGAACCCAACCCCTACCAGCATTTCAAAACAGTTCTGATAATACAGAACTGTGATACGAAGTTAAGACTAGCAGGACAATTCTGTTATAACGTGTTAACAAGATTGTTAAAATTCGAGCTCTTGCTCAAATGAGCTTTACTGTGGTTTATGATTTTAGAGAAGAGTTACACAGGAATTTGATATGACATGACAGGACATGACACCAAGCACAGAAGCAACATCAGTGAGCACTGAATATATGTACCTAAGAGTAGAGATTTTTCCTCAAGAACGCAGCTTTAAAAATTGCACCCCTTTCCTACTGTGTACACATCTTTAGGATTAGATTTGAACCCTTTCTGGGCATCTGAGTACATTTATGTCTATTTTTTTCAGTCTCGCTTATCATGAGCTGCTTAGTCACAAGCATTGCTCCTGTTGAAGAGGAGTGCTATGGGGATTGCATAATTCTTCCTGAACAACAAGGGGGAATCTCAGACACCAGGCTCCCTCCATTCATCACACTGTAGCACATTGGTATGAGAACTTTGTGGTCAGTTTCAGAGTTCCTTAATTTTCTGTTTCACTTTGTAAAGCAACATGATGCATTTCTATTGGAACAGCGCTGATGGCTTGGCAATACAAGCAGCTTGGCAATACAGGTTTAATTTTCTTGCCCTTTGGTAAAAGCTAAGGCCCACCAGAACAAGGGAGGGGATGAAGTAGTGAGACTTCCAGAGTAGCTTTGAGCCCTCTCGGGAATTTGCACAATCTCGGGACTTGGCTGTCACTACGAGTGCCTGTCTGGGTGACAGCCCTTGGCTTCCCGCTGTCCAAGGGTGTTCAGACCGCAGAGCTTTCCCTCGCTCGTTCTCACACGTTTTCCTTCTCCTCCTCCCAGCTTTGCCGCGCTCCGGGCCTGACCTGCCGCTCCCGCCCCGAGCCCGCGGGGCTCCGTGAGGGCGGCCCGGGCGGGACCCGCCTCCGCGGCCGGCGGGGCGAGGCGGGGCCGGGCCGGGCCGAGCCGCAGTGTCCGCCGGGGAGCAGCGGGGCTCGGATCGCCGCGGGCACGGCCGAGGTGCGGGCGCTGCGCAGGGCCCGGCGGGGCCTGAGCCCGCCCGGGTGCGGGAGGGCGGTGCGGGGAGCGCGGCGTGAGGGGCGACCCGGGGAGGCGGCATCTGCATGAGGGCCGGGCTAGGAAGGGAATGTGCAGCTGGATTGGGAGCGGAGCCTGCGGCCACACGGCGCTGGGAGAAGTCGCGTTTGGAACACGCACAAACAAGCGGCCCGGGTGGGCCCGTGGCGGCCCGCGGCCCCGGGACACGCGTGGCGGGGGCGGCGGGAGGGTCTGAGCCCGGCCATACCATTATTATTACCATTATTGTTATTACTACTACCCATATACATCAGGCTGTTTGTGACCGTAATGGGCATATCCCTTAAAACCCCGTGCTGTTTGCGTAGTTGGGGTTTGGTTTTGCAGTTTCTGCTGGCGCTGAAATCCCGGGTTTTTCGGAGCCCTTCCATTTTGTGCTGAAGGCAGGGCCTGGGCATGCCGGGAGCTCGGAGGGCAGCGAGGGGAGATGGATGAATGTGGTGAAGCTCCCAAAGTGTTGCTGAGCACTGTCCCATGCCCATGACTTGGCATCATCCTTGGCTGCATTTACAGCATAGTTTAGGGGAAAATGCTCTGGCGCCGTGGATTTACTTTATTTTTGTTGAGCGGAACGCTGTGTGCTTTTTGCTGTGATACAAAGTTAAGACTCGCAGGACAGTTCTGTTGTAACATGTTAACGAGATTGTTAAAATGAATGGGAACAATTACTGTCCATTTCTGAGAGGAGCCTTCGCCAAGCCGCTGTTTATCTTGGGAGCTGGACTGTAGTGAGAGAGGAGGGAGAGTTACAGTGAATTAATTTCCCAGGGTCTGCAGACCCTGTGCTGGGCCCCAAGGATAAAAGACGGAGCAGAATCTCATCACCACAGCAGGCAGGTCCAGGCAAGGCTTGTTTGAGCTTTGTTTTCAATGGGCAAACAGCTGCTTACCTCCATCCTGCCCACTTCCTCACCAAGGACACGCCTTCAGAGCAAGTCTTCCATCGTGCTCTTTGCTCATCAAGTTCCCCTTGTTTGGCAATAGCTGACTGTGCTGAAAGCGAGATGAGAGGTTGTTAAAAGTGTAATCAAGTGGATATTAACATTTTTATTACTATTGTTAAAATTATATTACAGGAAGTGAGTTAGTTGTAACAAAAAAAAAAAAAATCATTTATTTCGCTCTCTAGTGAAGCTAAGACATCCTAGTTGTATGGATTCCAATCACTAAATGCATGGTTGAAGCACTTGGTGAGGCAAAAGCCTGGGTCTGTGCAGGGCAAAAATTGAATGTGCACGGGGATGTGCTTTTTTTTCCACCTGCATTCACTCCTCAGCACCTCTTAACTTTCTGGTGTTGATAAAAGGTCCTGCCTCCATAGGATTGTGGATTTGGTACGGTCTCATTGGAAAGAGACTTCATTAGTTTAAACCTCCCATGATAAAAGCAGAAATAGTCCTCTCCTTTTTGTCATTACAACTTAATCTTTGCCTGTGAGTCATGCTAAAAGCAATTTTTAACAACAAGGTCTCAAAGGGGAAAAATGCATGTTCAACTCGGTTTGATCACAAGTTACTGCTGGGTAGGAAGATACTGGTTAGTTTGAAAGCTGAAGTGCAATTATAATTGTGTCATTTTACACACAAAAAAGGGTAGGCAATACTAATTTTTCTCTTTACATTTCATAGTTCATAGTATTGTCACATACTCCTCCTATCCTGGTAGCTGCTTAGGGAAATTTGCTAATTCAAATGAATTGGTCTAAAATCGGTCTAAATCCTTGTGTTATTTCAGAAGAGTACTAATTTCTGTAACTAAGTGTTGTTTCTGCAATTACATTAAATATTTTGGTGGTTTGTACTTTGACAGTTTAATAAGCATTATAATGGAAGCAAAATATTATAATTTATCATCTTAAGGTATTATATTATGCTGTTGTGAAAAAAAAAAGGGTAGAAAATTGCTTAGAAAGAAACTTTCCACAGTGGCAGAATCATGCTGTAATTGCGGTGATGCTAAAAAAACAAGGCTATTAGCACAATGTTTTTGTCAGAACTTTGGATTGCAATGATGGTTTTTTTTTTTTTTTAACTAACTTTTAATGTTTTTTAGAGGTCATCAGTGAGAAGGGGGAAAAATGGTGAAATCCACACAGTTAATTGACAATGAAGTCTTCAGGGCTTATGCTACTTACACAGGCATTGTTCTTCTGAAGATGATGCTAATGAGTCTGATAACAGCATACTTCAGGATCACAAGGAAGGTAATCTTTTGGAAATACTAGCTGGGAGAACAGACTGACATTTACATTGAAATACAGAGATATCACAGCTATTTATATATATTAATGCATCTCTAGAATTCTGAGGCTGAGGATATTTCACAAATAGGGATCAAGGCTGCCTTGGAAAGCAATCATGTAGCTCTCCTAAAATCAAAATATTTTCTTGACTTGTATCTGCCTTAGCAGTCCATAGAATGCATATGTTACTACATGTGTCAGCAGGGAGAAGTCAACTCTACATTGAGTCTGCACTGCCTGAATTAAATGTTGTTTTCAAGTAGTGTCTTGCAGTATTTTGAGGTAATAATGGGTCATGTAAGTGTAAGAATTTGTATCTAAGAGGAAAGGGAGACACTTTCTTGGTCATAAATGAGAATGGGAATAAGGATGTTGGATGCTGTTGCTGTGTAGGCTTCTGCAGAAGGAAGGGATCCAAAAGGACTTTCAGATAATTTGTCAGGAATGGTGAAAAAGAGACTTGAGAGCTTCCACCTTGTAGGTGCCCGTGTTCTGTCAGCCTACTGGGGTTACTGCAGGCTTGCTCATCTCACAAGTAGGCTTTATCTAAGTGCATAAATTGCATTGCATTAATTTGTCAGCATACAAATGCACAGGCTGGGCTCAAGAAAGCAGCAAACATTGTATTATTCCCTGTACTTTTAACTTCACGTAAGTTAAGTGAGATTATTGAGGCATTGGCAAAAATAGTGACCTTTACAGCAAGCTGCCTTGACTGGGTAAAACATTTTGGCTGCTAATGTCACTTGTGTGCTTGTGTTTGAAACAGGCATTTGTCAACCCAGAAGATACAGCATCATTTGGCAAAGGGGAGAGTGCTAAGAAATTCCTGAGGACTGATCCAGATGTTGAACGTGTACGCAGGTAATACACAAGAACCTGAAAAAGTTATTTTAAATAACAGAATAATATTAAATCAAGGAATTAATTCCACCCCATTCTCTGTCAAGCTCTGTGTGTGTTTCATGGTGCTTTATGTAGCAATCTAATACATTAATTAGTTTAAATGAATAAACCATTCCACATTCAAATGGTCTGTGTGCATTCCCAAAACAATAGGCCTCTGTCTGGTTATAATAGCTGACTCTTAGGTGGTGTCCTGTCTGCAAAATGGGCAAAATGGTGAGAACACTGTAAAATATGATCACAAGCTAGCTCATGGCAAAATTTTCTGTTTCCAAAATCCTACATTTTGGGATGCTATTTGATACACCTGTGCTAACAAGGAAAACTTTAATCAAATGCTTTCTATAGGATTGTTTCTTGATGAAGCTAAGTTTATTTCTATAGCAAAAACTTGAATGTCAGTGAACTCTTTTCGTTTAAGCCTCCATTAGGGAAGACCTTGAAAATATATACCAGTGCTGTTTTAAGAACACTGCATCCTTACAAATAATGGCTGTTGTTTCACAAAGCTTATTTCTGTATGCCTCATATGGATTAAAATCTCAGAAAGAAGACCCTAATCTAAGTGGGCCGTAAAGATGTTCTGCTCCTTCCTTTTCTGTCCCTGAGTTCAGGGAAGTTGTTGCTTGATTTCATGGGTGTTACATAAAAGTGGAAACTTTTATGGTGAGAGGTAGTTCCTTTCTCTTCGCAAATTGTAAGGGACCAGCTTAGTTGAGACTAACATTATAACCCATTTAATTCAAGTTGTTGTGGTAGAGAAATGACAACCAGCATGTAATTTTCACAGAATAGATTTTTAAAACACTAAATTTTCAAATTCTGTTTTGTGGAGTTTCTCAGACATCTCTAGACCTAGTAAGTAAGCTTGGTTCTAGTTACTATGTTGGTGTTGCAGCATCCATATTATCCTCCCAACTCCCAGTCTTAGTAGAAGTTTAATATATTTTCTCCTACAAGCTTCATGGCAACAGATAATGCCACATAAATTTAGCATGGCTTCTCTTTTGTATAAATGATTGCAATGTGTTCAGTTTGTGGAAAAAAAAAGATTTTTTTTTTCAAGAAAAAAAATTACTTTCTTCAGAGTACTTTTATGGGGAATGAGAATAAAAAAATCTGGAGGGCTATGTTTCCTTGTAATTATAAATATATTCTAAAAGCAGCTGCAAGACAATGCCATGACCTGATTCCAGTTGGCTCTGAAATTTGACATCATTAGTTAGGCTTAGACATTAGATTGTTTCAATCAGTAAATTGGGCTGGAAGTACAATTTATCTAAAGAGGTGAAGGGAGCTGGGAAGGTTTAGGAGGGGGTGTGAAAGAACACCTCAAGATATATGAGTTAATTCTCAACACATTTTTAGTAAATTATGGTTTCAAAATTTCAAACATTTTTGCAGCTATTTTAGTGCTCAAAGTGAAGAAAGTGAACGAAAAGCGTAACTGTCACACCTGTTAGATGTTCAAAAATAACCTTTTTCAAGATGATGGAACTTCATGAACATTTGATGAACATAGCAGCTCCTATGTAGGATATTTCATATTTTCTTTATGGACACCACAAACGATTTATGGGATTACAATAGTCCATCTGGGCCATGAACTGTAATAGCTTCAGCCAGCCCTTCAGTTAATTGAGAGAAGGTCCAAGAAAACAGCTGCCTCTTTTCTTCCCTGACTTTGCATTCTTGCACACCCAGGTGCGCTCAGATACCTCATGTAAGTCCTTAGTATTACCAAGATTCTGGGGAAAAACTAATACCTTTTATACAAAAGATCAGAAGCTTAAAAATGTGGGGTGCAGCAAGAGAGACCAGAGGGATGGCAGGTGAACATGCCAAAATTGTTTCAGTAATGAATCAGGTCCCCTCTGCAGAGGAAGCCAAGAGTTGTTGAATAGTAGCATGCTCTGAAGATGTTGAAAAATAATGAGGCTTGAAGTGGTTTATTCAACAAAAGACAACACTTTAAAATAACTTTGCTTCTTTCTCCAGAGGCCACCTGAATGACCTGGAAAACATTGTCCCGTTTGTTGGCATTGGACTGCTGTATGCTCTGAGCGGCCCTGAGCTCTCCACGGCCCTGCTGCACTTCAGGATCTTTGTGGGGGCTAGGATCTTTCACACTTTTGCATATTTGATCCCTCTTCCCCAGCCTGGCAGAGGTTTGTCTTGGGCAGTTGGCTACTCAGTGACCTTCTCCATGGCCTACAGAGTCCTGAAGACAGCGTGGCTCCTGTAGCAGAGCCGTAGCTCCCGTGTCCCCTTCAACATTCCACACAAAGTTCCCAGTGCTGTGCCATCGTGTCTTGAGTGAGCCAATGAGTCTTCCGTGCTAACTGGAATTCTTCTTTTCAACAAAAGCTTTTTGCTCCTGTTCAGAAGTGTTTCTTCTTTGGAGGAAAATAAAAGAATCCTTCTCCCTGTATTCCCTGTGCATGGGTTGCACTGCCAAATACTAGATTGGATGTTCCCTTTGCGATTTGTCAAGTGCTTACAATTCTAAACATGCCATGATGCTGTATTGATAGAGTGTTTGATAATTTTCTACAGATGCACTATTTTTGGCTGTAGCTCTGAAGTCTAAATCAATAAAGACAAGATTAAAAAAAAAAGCCTGTTTGTATTTTTGTTTTCATTTTGACTCTTCACACTGCAGCCAGCAAATAGCATGTCGCTATGTATCAGGAAGAGATTCCAATCATACAGTTCTTTGAAGAGAGCTTACCTTAATAATAAGATATAACCAGTAACGCTAGTCTTGTTGCAAAAAAATCTTTGATGAAAATGTTTGTATAATCCACTTTGGGATTAAAAAACCTAAACCATTGCAGCTCCATTTCTTTCAGTTGAATAGGTTAAAAAGAAAGAACATATTTGTGCTAAATTCTTTGGAGAAACTGGTAAAAATTTTAAGTAATTATTTTTGCTGGAATTCCTGCAAGTGTTCATTTTGTGACTGGATAAAGTAGAGACCCTTTGTAGAGGATTTTTTTTTTTTCTTTTTTGAATAAATTCAGCATAAAATGAATGACACTTGCAAATGTAGCTATCAAGTAATCCAGATGTACATATATAATTAGTTTGTGTGTCATACTGTCATAAATACGTTTCTGATATGAAGTTTTGCTCTTTGCTTACATCTTTCCATGATGTGTTAATTTGAAATACATTCTTTAAAGACTTTTCCTTGGCTTCTTTTTGTTTGGTTGGTTATTTTGGGGTTCTTTAGTTGCTCTGGCTTCAATAATAGCAGGAGATTTCAAGTGACCCAGAAAAGTCTTTACATGAAGTGTACTGGTCATTGAGAAGTTTTGAATGGTAAAAGTCAGGGCACAACACATTTGGTTTCCTTTCCTACCCCAGAAGCTGTGCCCATAAGGGAGATGGAGAGTTCTCACTGCTGCTTCCACATATCAAAGATTTTTTTCCTGCTTTTTGCAAGGGAGCAGTAATTGTACTGCAAGAAATAACACTGGAGGGCTTTCCTACCTACCCACAGTTGTGAGGTGGAGGTTGGTGCAGTGTTGTGTTAGGCTGCAAATCAGAAGGGTGGCAAGAGGAATGGGGAAGAATTCAGAGACACTGGTTTAATCCAAAGAAAGAGGGTTTTTATTGCAATTTAAGTGTTGAATCTTGTCTACCAAAGAGGAGAGGGTGGAACTTGAAATAAAGATGTTAATACTGATTTACCAAAAGTTAAATCTAACTAATGAGTAAAATAACAGAGCTGGATCTTCTAGAAGGAGGAGGATGAGAGGAGATGATGATTAAAATATTGAATACTGGGGAGCTTCAGTGGCTGCCATGGCAGAGTAAGCACACATCAGCACCTCTGGGTTAGCAGAGGCTCCAACAGGAAACATGGGCTTTTGTCTTTCTTCTGACACCACTTCCAACCTGTGCTGTTTTCCTCCTGTTCCTTCCTCTGCTAGGTTTTATGGGATCTTGAGAGCAGCTACCTTGGTATTGTTGTAACAGAGGCCAGCAGCTCTTCTGGTTTGAGAAGGAGCAGTGATGGAGGGTGAAGGAGTGAGGCTGCAGCCTGGAGCTGTGTCCCAAACCATGGTCAGTCATGGTCACAGCCTGCCAGCTCTCATCAGTCTGTGCCTACTCTGGATCCTTATATCATCACAACAGCTTCTAAAACTCTTTCCTCATTACTTCATGGCTTGCCTCTTCCTCCCAGCTCTGTGTCTTTCCATCCATCTTTCAGACAAAGGGAATGTAGCCACTGTGCTGAGGGCCCCATTTGTAATTCATCAGCAGAGCGAGCCCTCTCCAGCATGGAAAAGGCTCTTCAGACAAGCTTGGTTGTAATGCCAGGAGCAGCATTTTCAGCTCCTGTTGCATCAAGCGTCTGTACAGAAATCTCATTCCTGGAGACTGTCTTTAATTTTGTGATCTTATATTTGAAGTAAAACTGGTTTTAAATCACTTCCATTTGCTCAGTGGTTGCAAAGCCCAGAACGTACACTCGTATGTGCTGAGAAGTAGAAAAGATAACTGGAAACCCTTAGAAATACCTAGAGTGATTCAATATTATTCTGTGTTTCTCTTGCATTTATTTTAAACCTATATTTTATTTTCCTTTTGCTCCCACAAATACCATCTGTGCATCTGGGAGGGGTACGTGCTCAATCTGGGAAATGTGCCTTACCAGATTCCATCAAACGCCGACTGCCAGCTCCACAAAAACTCTGTTGGAGTGGTCCTTGTGCACAGCTCTTGCATTTCTCTGCTCCCTGCCCTGTGGAGGTGCATTGTGCCTGTTGTACAGCTGTAAATTTTGATATGTTGGTGTATTTCAGGGGAGATAGCAAAGGAGCAAGGGTGTGCTAGTTGAATTTATTGCTTGGCTAAACTGGATTTTCACCTTTTAAAACACGCACGTGGATTTCAGCCTGCTAGTATCAGGTCCTCTTGCAAAACCATGAAATGAAGTAACCTGTAACTGATGAAACAACTGAACTGTTATCAGCAGGTGGGCTCCCTTTGACCTGGTGAAAGTACAGAAAGGGCTGCTCCATGGGAGCCATGGAAAAGAGGTCAAACCATCACCTTCTATGCTTCATTTCTGTTTATTATGCCCCTTATTCCCACCACCAATCTTGGGAAACTGGAGAAACCACAGGGTTTCTTTTCTCTTCTCAATAATTCCTGGTATTTTGTGTTCTTCTCCAGGTATGTTTTGTATCTTTGAATTGGCTCTTAATAGTTAGCCATGAAGCACCTCAAAATGCCAGCTGACAGAACCTGGTTAGCTGAGTTCATCTCTGAGGGAAATTCATGGGCTGCTTTGTTTTCAGAAGTGGGAACCTGAGCAATTCCTCAGTTTAGTTTTTGTTTGTGTGGGTAACTCCTTAAAAGCCTTTGGGCAAAATGACTCTGTGCTGGTTTTCCTGGCTGCAGACACATGCACTGAAGGCACAGAATTGTTGGAAGAGATCATGACTGGTGAAGAGCTCTGAGCTAGGACTTGCTGTTTAATCATGACTTTTTGTCCTGTCACAATGAAGAATGTGTTTAAAACTATAAATGATACATTAAACATTTCCTGGAATTTTCAGACACGAGTGTGTGTCTGAGCTTCACCGCCTTCAAGGTATTTATTTCAAGAAGCTGGGTCAATGCTTCTGTAAGTGATAGAATTGCTTGTCATCAAAATACAGAAGAAGAAAAGCCTGGGCTCTTAACTCAAATCACTTTGGGGTTTGGAAAAATTCTATTTACCTGAAACTGATTATTGCTTAGCTGTGTCTATTTCTAGTTATTTACAGAAACGAATTCAATCTAAATTTTTCATGGAAAATGCTTGTAATGTATATCTTTTCTAAGAGCAAAAAATAAAAAGCATAACTTTTAGAATACTGCTTTTAAAATGTTGCCTGTCATTATTCTAGCTAATGGAGTTTTCATTTCAAGGTTGAAGATTAAGAAGAACTTTTCTCTTTTCCAAATGTTGTCCTGGCAACTGAGATGGCACCAAGTGTTCTCTGAAAGGTTCTATTGACATGTGTTAAAATAGTCTCATGATTAAATATCTCTGGCTGTTGGACACTTAGAAATCTAATACTTCTTTGTGATACACTTTAAGTGATAGTCAGGCTTCCAAATCTTGGCCAGTGACTCCCACTCATAGATTCTGAAGGCTCAAATAGATCATTAGCTCCTTCAGCCTGACCTCTAGTGGAAAAGAAGCCATGGGATGGCTGCCCTTCTGCTGAGGGTAGTTCAGTCACAGCATGACTTCCAGAAAGGTGTGTGATCCCCATTCAGAGGCTTTGGAAAACAGGCATTGATTCACTCTTTTCTGTCACATAGGTTCTCCCTGGTGTATATGTACACTAAACTTAGGCTTTAAGCATAAGATAGTTTGGTTTTGTTGCTGTTTTTGTGGGGGTTTTGGTGGGTTTTTTTTGTTTTGGCCTTTTTTTTTTTTTTTTTTTTTTTTAATCAAGGCAGCTCTTACATTATTGCAGTGCAAGGTGGAGTATGAAATATTTTAATCATGGATTTTCCTCCTACAAAGCACTCTGCTCTAATTTAGCTGTACCATATAATTTCCACAACTGAATGCTTTTACCAGGTGTAAATGTAATGCTTTTACTCTTTGCTGGTAGGCCCTGGTGTGTATCACCACTGACAGCATCATTCTTTTATATTTTGTTCTCATATGTGGGAGAACTTGGAGGGAGCTTAAGAAGAGGAAGTTCCAAGGAACCTGTCTTTTTACTACCAAAAAAAGAGACAAAAACAAGACTGTCTCATGGGTACTGCTTGTCCTGTGAGGGGGAATAAATTCAGAAGGTAGTGTCAGTCCTGTAGAAAAAATGAGGAGAAAAAGGAAAAGAGAGAACTGAAAGGAAGGAAATGATAGCTTAGAACAGCATCAAGGAGCAAACTGGATGAAGACTGGTAGATGAAGTGTGGTAAGAGAGGCAGGTATCCTTCTACTTTATAAAAATGCTTTACTATCTCTTTGAAACAAATTCATTTTTAAGAATGCTTTCCTACGTGTATCCAGTCATTAAATATCTGCAAAAAGAATTATAAATACCTCAGATCAGGATGGAGAAGACCCATGTGTAGCTAATTCTGTTAATCAATTGCCTTAAGGCACCTGTAGTGCACAGACCACTGCAGTGGGAGATGGCTCTTGACATTGTGTGACTAAAAAACTGCCCCCAAAATAACCTCACACCTGCAACAGAGAAAGGATGATTATTTCCTTTTTGCCTGGAAAGTCTTATATGGCACTTGCTTTCAAATTTACATCAAACAATTCCTTTTTACTACAATGCTTGCATGGAAACCAGAAAGGACCTTCAGAAGGGTGAGTTTGGGAACTGGGCAGAAAGGTGTCAGCTCTGGAGGTTGTCCCACATTTTCTGGAAGAATTTCTGAGATTCATCTCTTTAACCCTCACTGTGGGAGCTGTAGGGATTAGTGCATGTGGAATTGCTGCAGAAATGCTCAAGGTAGGTTTAAAATTCTTAATCTCTAAGTATCTAAAAGACCTAAATAATTGCTATAAATGCAGAACTTAATCTGCTTCCTCTTCTGATAGAAAGTGACACTAAAACCTCAATTTTCCTTAAAGAGCCTGCAGTTATGTTCTAAGTGTGCATGACTGCCTCATTTCTTTAATACTGGCAACTACACAGTGGAAAGTTGTTTACTGTGGGATTTTCACATCAAACCAAGTGTGGTCCATCTTACAGGCTGCGTTTCCCAGCGAGCAGGGCAGGCAGCACCCGCACTCATCATGTGAGAGCTCCTTCTGTGCTCTTGAAGTGTGTTTTCACAAGAATCAGTTTGTTGTGAGCACTCTGGTATTGAAGTTAGTTGGGACCATGTAGCTCATGGGGTTTTTTTGTCTCTCTAGCAATTTGGGGTTTGCTGTTGATCTCTCCTTATCTTCAGCTGGACAGGGTTCCAGTGCTGCTGCTCTGCCTCATTAGCTGACAGATGGCTAATTCCACTAATTCTGCATGAG